GACCTGGGGTGCAAACAGTTGACGTCCATCAATGCATGCTTGGGCCGCCCGCTCGCAAACCGACCACACTCCCCACAGTACATGCCCAATCTTTTCGAGAGTCGGTCCAGGCTCTCTCTAATCAATGTGCACGTAACCACCGCGCTTGTCACATGGTCCTTGAGGACTGTGCGGGAGGCACCGCCTTTGGCAAGACTGACGCCTCGGACATGTGTAGGTTGCTCGCGATGTCACTGCTTATGGAGTCCAGACGTACATCGCGGCCATCGTCTCCCTTTCCTCACTTGCTTCGACCCCTCCGACGACCCAACGCCTGGATCCGACCGATTGGACGCTACCTCATGAACATCGGCTTCGAGAGCACTTCCCATTGGGTGCAGGGGCAGATCAGTGGTTACCTGACGGACTGGCCAAATGTTTCACCACTCGACACATGAGCCTAACAGTGTGATAGGCATGAACTGTATGATTCAAGACAGGGGTCGTACATTCTCTCCTGGGGGTGCCACCTTCATTCATTGCTGCCTTCCCCCATGTGCACCTCGTTTTGGTAGGGGAGATCTACACATCTACATACGCCTGTTCTGTTCTGTTGCATCCCGCTCTTTCTACCCGTTTCTACTCCACCATCTACTTTAGTCTATTCTGCTCTACCCTACCCTCCCCTAACCGGTCTTTATTCCTTGTTGGAGCATCTTCCAACTGTGCCGCCTAGCCGGCCGATGGCAACCCCATTTGGGAGGTCCCATCGTACCTGTCAGACAACAGTGCCAAATCAATGTTTCCATGTCAATATGGGCGTTCTGTCTTCCATGTGCAAGATGCGTAGTAGGAAAGGGAAGCGTCGCATATCCCGCGCGAAGGGCCGAGCTGTCGCTCTCCCCTCTGCGTCGCGCTCAATTGTCTAGAGAATTGAGCTCCAGCTGAGGCGCGGCGAACATTTTTGACACGCAACTTCGTCGACGCGCGAGTGGACGGGAATGTCGCTCTCGCGTCGGCGCCTCGCGGATTTCGCCTGAAAATGTCACTCCCGCCCCGACGCAGCGCAGATTTGCCACTCGCCAATGTTTGGGGGCTCGCGCGAGTCGGCGATTTGACGCCCCCGCCCGCGCTCCGCGCGCATGTCGCGCTGAAGTGGCGTTCCCGCGCGGGTGCGGCGCATGGTTCGTTTGCCGAGTCGCGTCCAAATGACAGTGACAGCGGGGCTGCGCGACAGCCGCCGACATTCGACTTCGCCCAAACGCCGCGCAGCCTGTGACTGAAAGTGGCGATGCTGTGTCAGCGCAGCGCCTGCTTCGTCTTCGCCGCGCCCCGCCGAAGTTTTGCCGCTCCCGCCCCTGCGCGGCCCGCGAAGTTTTCGCTTGGCCAGGTCGTCGGAAGCGGGGCTGCGCGCGAACGCCTTCGTGTACGAGGTGGAAGCGCGGCCCACTCCCAGCATCAAGCTGTGCCAAAGTCTGTTTTTTTTGTTGTGGGAGGGAGGGCGGGAAAATGGCCCGGGCCCTCTCTCTCGCTCGACCTGGCCAACTTGCCTTTTTGGCCTGCTCTTTTTCTTCTCTATCCTACTTTATGTTGTTCTGCTCCACCCTACACATCTACTATACTCTACTGTACTCTGCTTCGCTCTCCTCTCCTCTATTCTACTACAGGGTTTGACGATTGTTGGGCATTCAATGGAACGCCATTGGGGAACCACCAGGAATCCATCGTAATAGCAGAAGAAACTATGTGGAGATTCATGAAGCCATACGGATAGGAGAGGGAGCCGTGCTGATACAGAGGAAGGCATGCGGATAATATGTAATTTCCAGGGCAAGGAAGCATGGGACCAGTGGGCCAGTTCTTCATGGATTGAACCAGGACTTCTATCGGCAAGCTTCTTTTGATAATAACAAGAGGGGCAGAGAGAAGCTGGGGAAGCCTGATGACTCATGAGGACCATGATGCGGGAGGAGGGGGAGGATGAGGAGGAGGAGGCGGAGGAGGAGAAGGACGATCATAATGGCTCATGCTATGGCTCGCAGTGCTCAGTGCGCCTCGGCTCTCTCCTCCTCTCTGTTTCTCTTTTTCCTACTCCCCGTCCTCCCCATCCTCCTCGTCCCTCTCCCCCCCCAGCGCTTCCAACAGCGGTGCCAGGGGGGTAGCTGGGCGGCACTTGTTCGGAAGTCATCAGCCGTCCACCGTGGCTGTGCTGATGTGGGAGGAGGAGGAGGAGGACGAGGAGGAGGAGGAGGAGGAGGAGGAAGAGGAGGAGGAGGAGGGGGACGAGGAGGAGGGGTTCTGGTTTGTAAGGGCGTACTGTGGGTTCTTGTGGGTTCGGCCACACACAGACGTCGATGGTCATGCAAGTGGTGGTGGTGGTGGTGGTGGTGGTGCGGGCGTTGACGATGCTGTTGATGGACTTCCTCCCATCAATCACGATGACGATAGCGTGAAAAGGCGTTGGAGTGATGAGCAGTATTCGGGTGGTGAGGGAGCAGAGACGAAGGCAGGCGCCCCTGAGGACTGGCAGACGCCCGAATTTGACGAGTGGGTGCTGATAATATCCGGCGAGGTGCAGCCCTTTTCTCAATTTTGCGGCCTCTCCAGTACTTGTGGCAACCGCGCCTGTCTGATACATATTAATCTCTCTGTATATCTAGATATAATTAGGTACATATAAGTATATATATATATATATATATATATATATATATATATATATGCATGCAGTGTTCACATATCAATGTGTATATATATACACATGTATACATGTATGTTCATATATATATATATATGTGTATGTCCATGCATACATATACATATAATTGTTTACACATGTATATCTATATATTGATATGTTGGGAATGCCCTGCGGTGGTTGCCACCGACCCTGAATGGGGACGACACGACGACGGCGGCGACGACGACGCTGACGCTTTGGAGCCCTTCTTTGGAGCCAAGGTCAAAATGACCACTCCCAGCGGTTGGCTTAGCCATCCTCCGCAGGGCGTTTTTGTGCGTGGCAGTACTCGGGAGCACTGCCAGGGAGGCCAGACACCCCTCACAAGCCTTCCCTTGCTCGCGGAACTCAAGTCCGCGAGGTGTGCCGATCAGGATGCACCCAATGACATCCTTCCCGGCACCCCGCAATAGCAGATAAGAATGAGCAGGGTGCCTCCAGGGTGTTGGGGGGGGGGTTCGGGAGGAACGGCAGTCGGAGGACGCTTGATGGGGAGGCGACAAGTGGAGGGGCAGCGAGGGATGCAGAAATGGGGGCATTTGATGCTCGCGCTTCTGACTGATCTCAATATAGACGGATCCCTCTCGGAACCTTCCTCTCGGACCCCCCCTCGGCAGGGAAGGGATCAAAGGGCAGGGCTTCCTTTCGAATCAAGTGCGACGTTGTTTGAATTTTGGCCCAGGGAAGGGGGGCGGCGGCGGGGACGACGACGACCCAAACGGAACAACGTCCCACAGACGCCGACAGGGATCGGCGGATGCATATATATATATATATATATCTATGTATATATATGTATTATATATATATGTAATTTGTCTACATGTGTATGCTTGCATATTTGTAGGTATGCATCTATATATATATACATATCTGTATGTATACATGTATGCCTATATTTACATCCGTTTAGGTATGTGTGCCTACATATAGGCGTTTGTACTTGTACTTGTATATGCATGTGCGTATGTATATGTATACAGATGTGTATTCGTATATGTAGATATACACATATGTTTGTACGTACATGCACATCGCTGCATGTCTACACACATATTTAGAAACATGCATGCATGTATATATACATACATCTATTTATATATATATATATACATACATGAATGCATATGTGATTATGCGTATACGAATATAGGTGTTTGCGTAACTGTATATAAATGCATGCATATGGACATGTATACGCCCATGTGCATGTAGATGTGTATGCATATGTATGGGCATGTCTGTACACATGAGCATAATCACATACATATGTAGGTTTTTGTGTAGTTATGTGAAGTTGTACTTGTATTCGGACGTGTATGCATTTGCATATAGGGATGTATACGTGTACGCATACATATTCGCATCTGTGTATGCGTATGTGTATGCACACATTTTTATACATATGTATGTAGACAACTTTGTCTGTGTATGGGTTTAGTTGCGCAGATGTATATGAACATGTCCATGTCTATGTATAGGTATAACAATTTGTCGGTGTATCTGTAGATGTATATGTAGATGTACACGGGGATGCGTAGGTATGTGTAGCTGTCTTTGTCTATGACAATGTCAATGTCTATGTTAAATGTCTATGTCCATGTCTATCTCTATGTTGTTTGCGATGTATAGGTGGATGCAACTGTGTAGGTATAGGTACATGGATATGTATCCGTATACGTACATGTCTTTGCATACGTTTAGGTCCATGTCTATTGTAATGCCTATGTCTGTGTATATGCATGTGTGTATATGTGTATACGTGTATATTTGCATACGCATACCCATGTGCATATGTATATGTATATGTGCATGCGCATGCACATGTGCTTGCACATGCACATGTACATGTATATGTATAGGTATGCCTACGTATATACGTATACGTATATATATATATATATATATATATATTCGTGTGTGTATATGTAATTCTATAGGTGTTTGCACACGCGCAGGTATATGTACTATGTATATCGATATGTATGTGTATTTACTCATGCATATGTATATGTATATGTATATGTATATGTATATGTATAGGTTTAGGTACGTGTGGCTGCTTTTCTGTACATTACGTGTATGTGTAAACGTATGTATACATTGGTATGTATATGTATTTGTAGATGTCTATGTGCTTACATGTGTATAATTGCAGGTATACGTGCACATATTCGTATACGTATATGTCTACATATGTATTTGACGACAGTTTATTTATATCTGCAGGTGTATGGGTATGTGTATGCGTATGTGTACATGTATCTCCATGTGTGCGCAATTGTAAACATATAGACATGCATATGCATGCATGCATGTATTCATACATGCGTATCATTATAATACGTAAGGGCTCTCCCCCTGCCGCCGGCCCCCTCTCTATCATAACGGGATATATCAGAGTCGCGTTGGTGCGCCTCGGCGCTGCCTTGGCGCATCTGGGAAACGTCACGCGGGGGCGGATAAGAATCATCAGCGTATATTGAGACGCTGGCGTTATCCTAGTGGCCTTCGGCTTACCCCGTCAGCGTGTCTGGGTTGTGGGTCTGTGGCCTCTTGTATATGTGTTGGGATGTCGTAGGGAGCCTCTCGAGGGCCTCTTGGAGGCGATTTGAGCGCCTCTTGGGGGCCTCTTGGGGCCTCGTGGGGAATCTTTTGGGCTCCTTGGAGGCCTCTTGGGCGCGTCTTAGGCGACTCTTGGGGCCTTTTGGGGCCTCTTGGCGGCCTCTTGGGGCCTCCTGGAGGCTTCTCGGCACAGAATATCGAAGGTTCGGTTCGTGGTCCCGTGCTTGGGCCCCTCTTGCAGCCGCTTCGGTGCCCCCTTTTGCCGTCTTGAGCGCTTCTTGGGTCATCTTGGAGCCCTCTTGGGCCGTCTTGGGGCCCTCTTGGGGGCGTCTTGGGCTGTTTTGGGGCGGTCTTGGAAGCTTCTTGAGCCGTCTTGGAGCGTCGGAAAGCCGAAAATGCGAGAAGGCCGCAATCCTCCAAAACCTTCGTAACATCTACGATTTTGGCCTCTTGGGGCTCTCTCGGGAAGCCTCTTGGGGCGCTCTTGCAGCCCTCTTGGTCCCTCTTGGGCCGTCTTGGAACCATCTTCGGGCGCCTTGGAACACTCTTGGCTTAGGAAATGCGAGCACGATGTAATTTGCAAATATTTATGGCTTCGGGGATGCGACTACCTCGTACTTTGCATGGGCTTGTTGCTTCTGGGACGCACAAGTAGTGTAATTTACAAGGGTTTGTGGCCTCGGGGACGCGACAATTGTTTAATTTACGAGGGATTATGGCCTCGGGGGCGCGAATCTGATGTTTTTTTGACGCGCCCACACGCGCCCCACGCACGCCCCGCACGCACCCCGCACGCGCCCCACACGCACCCCGCGCACGCCCCACGCACGCGCGGACCTAAACAATGCACAGTAGGAAGCAGGAAACAGGACTGTAACATTGGAGACTTCATTTGCAACTGGTGCAGGCAGCAGCGACGTCGTCCTACAGCCTGGTGGCCCAGCAAGAAGGCCGGCGGACATGTATGTGTACATGTACATGTACATGTAGAGGTGCATTTTTTACTTATATGTTCTCCACATAGGCTTGCCCTATAGGAGTTCTAACTCATTTCTACGAATTGGTCCGTTGCCCCCCTAATTCCTATGGCCCCGCTTTTTCCAATGGCACTTGCTTGCTTGCTCTTGCGTGCTTGCTCTCGCCTGCTTGCTCTTTCTTGCCCTTGCTTGCTTGCACTTGATCGCTGGCTATTGTTTGCTTGTTATTACTCGCTTGCGCTTGCTTGCTTCCGCTTGCTTGCATGCGCTTGCTTGATTTTGCTACTCCCGTCCTCCTCCCGTCCTGCTCCAGTCCTCCTTTCGTCCTCCTCCCATCCTCCTCTCGTCCTCCTCCTGTCCTCCCAATTGTGTAGAGTCAACGCTGGCTGATATTTACTTATAGGTAATCGTTTTTCGTTGATGTGTATGTCTATTTAACTGTTTATGATGTTTATGGATGTATAGGTGTAGGTATATGTAGGTGTATATGTATATGCATATGTATACATATATGCATATGTACATGTGTATGTACATGTATACGTGTGTATATATGTTTATATACTAGGTATATCATTTGTGTAGCTTCAGGTGCCTATGTACATGTATGCATACTTATGCATGTATACGTATATGGGCATGTGTATGTAACTGTAACTGCATACGTATATACACGTCTAGCTGTCGATGCACATGCATAGGTATATGTATACGTATCGGCATTTGTACATGTAACTGTGTACGTCGATGTACAGATCTATGCAACATGCATACGCATGTGTACATGTACATGTAAATGTAGATGTGCTTACGTATACGTCTATAAGTATGTGCAATGTATGTGGGTATGTAAGTGCTTGTAGTCGCACTTGTACACATATAGGTATACGTGCATGTGCATGTATGCGTACTCATTTGTATTTAGACATATGCATACACCACACATACATCCACTCGTTCATACACACACACGTACGTACGTACGCACGTACGAGCGTATACACGTACACGCATACATACATTTACACACATACATCCCTGTATACATACATGCAAACAACCACACATACGCATGCATGCATACATACATGCATACATACACTCACACTACACATAGTGTACGCATACACTAATGCATAACCACACACACACATATATATATATATATATATATATATATATATATATATATATATATATATATATATATATATATATATATATACGGAAATGTACACGTATAACACGGGGTACCTTGCCCCGGGCCCCTGGGGCTACGACCGCCATGCC